AGGTTTCATTGTCCTTGTTTCATTTAATCCTCTGTCTCACTACTGAAAGGGTGAATAAGAAGGCAGCTAAGGCTGGTGAAAAAAGTCCAGATTAAATTGTTTTGCTTTTGCCATTTGACAGAATTTGACTTTCAAGTGAAAGGGAAGGGTCTACCGTCCCTAGAAAATTTTCAGTTTTCATTGAAAGACCTTGCACCCCAATTGCTAAATCAGTTTGCAGCCAAAAAGCAAACCATTCCCATTAAAACATGCTGTCATGCAGCTCCCAGCAGGATATAGCCCTGTGCCTTCATTTTTTGGTGTGGCAGGAATTCCCTAGGCAGATAACCTTCCCATGACGTAAGTCTCCTCAGGGAAGAGGCCAATACACATTCCAGGAGATGTAGCCCAAACAGAGAGGAAAAAAGAGAGAGAAGATACTTAGACCTATATCTTCCATCGAGCACTTCAGTAGCATTTCTTAATCAAAGTATTTTGTATAATTGGATAATATACTTCAGGCTTTTTAATCTTTGCATGTTTTTGGAAAAGGATTAACATTTTCCATCTCTAATAGCTCTAGTACCAGGTTTCCCAATCATTCAAACAGCTATGAAATGATAACTGATTTTGCACTGGAAATCGAATGAAAAAATCTCCATGTCTCATTTTCTGCATCTGGGAAGTACTCATCCTCCCTCCAGCGTGTGGAGTACACTGGAGATGAAGCTGCAGAGTTTACCTGTTCCAGAGAGGTCATCCTATTTGCCTAAGTTTAAGACCTTGAAATAAACTGCTGAACTAATGAAATGACTAATCACAGCCCTCTCATTAGCCATTAGCAGTTTCCTCTATACTTTTACTCACACCCTCTAACCCCCTTTCCTAGAAAGGTTCAGAGGTACCTGAGAGCCTTTAACCTGCCCTCCTTTGCTGGCCTAGATAAATTAGCCATGATGCTCAACAAATGTTTTCTCTCAAGGCAAGCAAGCAACAGCCGTTATCTGCTAGTAGCTAGTAGAGTGCAGGCTGATTTTGCAGGATGAACTGGCACCAAGACTGTTACCAATAAGGAAAATAAGTGACACAACCTCTTAAGTTGATGGACCTTGTCCAAAGCTCATCTTTTCTCCACAAATTAAAATGAGTCCGCTTTGTGCTCAGGTTTCTTCTCCTCTGCCTGGTTTACAAGCAGCCTGTGGCAGATGGGGGTCCTGAGGTGAAATTCCAATCTGGTCCACTAAAAAGGAACTGGGCCTGAGTTCCCTGCCTACAGTGTGTTCACACCGTCTGGTAACTTGTGCAAGCCCCACTCCCAATAAGCTCGTCTCCAGAAGAACTCGGGGTGGGAAGAGACCAAACAGTAATGATCGCCCCTACGGTTCTCATCAAACACAGCTAGGTCACTGCCAGTTTTCCCTCACTTCCCACACACCACACTGAGTTCTCTTAAATGGTCAGATTTAATTCCTTCATTGATACCAAGAGCAATAAAAAGCAAAATGTGGTTTCAGTTACAACCACGCACCAGTGTGGCTTTAGCTAAGACAATTGCAAAGGATTAACTCAGAAATGAATATAGTCCCAAGTTTCGTTTCTTTGTAGATACTCAGTATTTGTGCCTCGCTCCTTTCTGGGGAGAACTTTGCCCATGAAGAACACTGGAAATTAAACGTTCAAAATTAAAAACCAAGTACATCAATAACCTGAAAATGTCAGGACGTACAAATGGGTCAGAAAGCAGGAAAAACTCTGGCACAGCAGAAAGAAGCTTAGTTTGTGAACAGCCAAAAATAATCAAATGATGAATCAGGTGCTCTTGTTTGCTTTCTCAAAGACAAATAGAACCAATGACACATGTGAACAGCAACACCCTGACCAGCTGCAACCAAGGAAAGTTAAAGCAATTCCTAACACATACAAATCTCAGTCTCATCTGGTCTCAGAAGCTAACAGGAAGGAAAGGTTATAGCAGTGTGGATTCACTACACTTTATTCACCTTAACCAAAAGCACTCTAAAGTAAAGAAGCTCACTATGGTAATAAGACCAGTTTCCAGATCTCTGTTGAATAAACCTAGAGTGACTGTAACAAAGCACGCACTGACTTTTGAGGAATTCCAATGCGTGCTCTCCTCCGATAGGCTGAACAGAAGCTTTTCAATCAATAAATCTTGACATTCACTTCAAAAGAAATCAGTATCTACCTGTCTTCAGCATCTAAAAACCACTCAAAGTATACAACATAACAGGGTTTCAGTGTTGTTAACTGAGAAAGTTTTAAAACCAGAATATCAAGGGACCCAAGGCAGAGAAGAGAATGCCAGGTCTTTATTGCCTTATGGTGGCAGGAGGGTGCAAAGTTCAGTCACTAAAGATAATGGATGTGTGGGAATTCTCTGCCTTTCCCCATGCTAATTATCGAATGGTTCATGCTGGGAGAGATGTGGGCTGCTGAGCATTGCAATAGTTTAATGGCCTCACCGGCACGTGCTGGCTCAGCCCCACTGCATTCTGCAGTATCCATCTCTCACAGGACTTGTTAGATTGCCTAGGTAAAAAGACGAAAACAGTGAACAACTTCAGGTAGTTTTCAATGGCAGGGACCAGAATGAGCATACAGCTGCCCATGTCTGATGCTAAAAGCCAATTCTTTCCACTGAATGGCCTTTACACGTTGAACAGAAGCCTCACCTCTTCACAGCGCCCTTGTGGGGGCACAGCCTCTGCAAAAATCAGTGCCATGGGAGAGGGAAGAGCTGCCTGTCATGAACACTAGGTCTACCCAAAGCAAAAGGCCTCCCTTCTCATGCTGAGAGTGCAAGACACAGAGCCAGAGCCTGGTGAACACCAAGGACAATTAAAACAAAACTCAGAACAAGAACAAGAAAAAACCCACCAGGCAAGCTCTGAAGTCACAGGTAAACAATAAGAAAGTCGGAGGGGAATACCAGGCAGAGAAAGTTGGACAGCACACACCTCTCCTCAAAAAACAGAACAAGCTGATAATGCCACACAGAATTTTTGATGAGAGGTTTGAAGTAACAGGGGAAGAAACAGCCCCAGTACACTAACGTGCTGGTATCTTACCAGGACTACAGAGAGGTTAAAAGACTTATCTTTTGACTTGCGGCCTACTTGCAACAGAGGCGAGAGCTTTTACCTACCTCAGCAGCAGATGTGGCAAGGACTTGTTCAATACACAGCTGCCAAAAATTACTTTGACAGCAGAAATGATGCTGAGGTTCCTCCTTTAAATACAAAAGACTCCTATGAGAGGAGGACAAAGTGGGCATTAGGTTGATTGGTACCTCTCCTTAGATGCAAAATGATGGTAGGGAAACAGCTACCTCAAGTCATACGCAAATGAAAGCCTCCTCTTCCCATGCTCTTGTTCCACAAGTTGTACAGCAGACAGTTATTTTCTTCTACCTCACAAGGTTTGCATTATATATATGCAAAGATTTATGGAGCTCTTCAGAAGGACACCACAGACATGGTAAATAGCTTTAATAATAGTTATTAAAAGATCACTGGGGCAAGGACTGTATTATTTATGTTTTATACAATGCCCATACACCCAGCTGGAGCTAAATAAATAGCAAGTGAAATGACAACGATTATACAAGTCTCTCTCACCTGGCAGATGGACAGTCTTCTACTGGTTAGCAAGTCCGGATTTAAAATTTGTTTTTTGCCAAACTCCTTTTCCTTCCTCAAGCAGGCATTAGAAATAGTAAATGAATCAAAGGTGCTCACCTTGTTCAGAGCTTATCAAAAAGGACTGATAAAATACAGAACACCAGGGGAGAGATGAATGAGTGTCTCCCCATTCAAGTGGATCTCATATTTATAAGACTAACCACGATTACAGATTTAGGGCTCAAACTTAACATTTGAAAGTCATGGCTGCTAATTTAAGTTTATCCTGTTTAATCACTGTTCTGAAAACCGCCTCAAACACAAGATTAGCTGCCTTATAAGCCTGCAGGCTGGCATCTTTCCAGCAATAGCAGAATTCCCACCCTGAAAATGTGTCCTGCTATAGCCATTCTGAGTGCAGAATTCATGCACAAACAGAAGCGAATCAAAGATGAAACTGCACTAAGAGCAGTGCACTACAAACCTAGGCAAAGCCCATTTACTTCTCTATTATAAGGACATAGGAGTGTCTGCTCGACACCTGTGTTACTTTACTGGCTTCAGTGGAACTAGTCTTCATTTTTAGTAGTGTAAGTACAGGGTGCAAGTACATCACCCACTGATGAATGATCTCAGGATGACATGGAACTCTGAGTTCCTTATTTATTTACAGAACAGGAGGAGCACAGTCAGCCCTACTAAACTCTATGCAGGAAATTGTCTCAGTGTTTAAGTAGGAGGACTCATGGTGGTCCTTCCCCTACCGCATTTTGCATTTTAAACTTTTTCATCAAATGCTCCCAATTCTTCTTTCCCCTGAAATGTCTTTGTAAATGAATCAAAGGCACTTTTACTGACCTTGTGTCAATAATAGTCCTGCTTCAAGCAAGGGATTGAACCAGATGACCCCCTCAAAAGTTCCTTCCACCAGCACTTCTGTGACTTAGAGATGGATGGTGCATCTTAAGTTTCCCTTTGTTTTTATGCCTGCATCTTCACTGCTGTGACTGCACCTGACTGAGAATGACAATCAGCATTAATTGTCATGTAGTCAGGCGTTTGAAATGTAGACATTTATCTCCTACAAAACGAACTGAGATACTCATCTCATGCCATGCTCTCTATTGGAAAGATGTCAAGGGAAGCAAGTAATTGCCACTGAACAGAGTTACATTTGAAGCAGTTGCCCTCTCTAGATCTGTCATTACAAGGTATTTATCAGAGCCACAGACCAACAGAAGTCCTCTTGTTAAGAAGCTTGACCTCACTTTTTTGAGGTGTTCCTGAGGCCTGTCAAACACTATTAGTTGCTGTTCCAATGGATAACATAAGACTACGTTCAGATTAATTTTTTTTTAATTTGTTTCTTTCTTTCTGTAGGTCAGTGCATCTTACTATCCTGCACCAGGATCACTGGGGCATTCAGCAGCCATTGTCACTCTTCCCCATCTGCAGCATCACGTATCAGCTAATATGTACGTAAGGAAACTGAAACTTGTTGGTGGTGTCATGCAATTCTCAGTGCCTTACTCCTTAAATATCTCTAGGTGCTTATTTTAATTAAGACAGTAAAGCTGACTAACGTTTTGAATGATCCAATCTGATAAAACTTTCCCAAATAAGTAGAGTTAAGATTTGTAAATATATCTGGTGATTTGTGTTCCTCTAGATAAGATTCATCAGCTCGGCACTACAAGAAAGCTACCCAGTAATAACAAAATAGCAACAAGCTGCCTACATGGTCATTAGCACCTCCACGGTATCAAGCCAGACTTTTGGAAACATTAGTATACATGAGCAATATCTATAAATCTCCATTGCCCTCACAATAGTTGCTATATGCATGCATTAGCATAGGTTATCCAAGACTTTCATGCATACTTATGAGTTTTCTTGTATTTAAGATTAAGACCTTAAAACAGTGAAATAATTTTCAGAATGAGGACTGTATGTTAGTGTTTACAGAATCAGCTCCCTGTTTTGTACAGCTCCTTTTTTCAGCCCTACAATATCAAACCAATCTGTGCATGTCCTACTTTTGAAGATGAATCCTGTGTGCAAAGATAAACTAGTGCAGAATTAGAACACCCCTGTACTGAAGTTTGCCTGGTCTGTGCAAGAAATAAAAGGAAAAATCATTTCCATAAAGGAAGACATTTCGAGTCAAACTTTCAAGTGATTGCTCTGAACAATAGGAAGTGAGAACAAACCTCCGTTCAAAATTATGGGATAGTCCTTGTCAGTCTGTTTTTTTGTTTTCTTCCCTTCTTTAATAATACCTGGTTTAAAGGAAGTGATATTTACTGTAGGTTCTGTAACTCATCGCCATTTAGAGCGGATCATATCCCTCATGAGAGAAAATGACAATACAATTTAAACGCATTCCACTGGAGAAAAATGAAAATTCTTTAAAGCCATCAGGACCCTACGTAAGAATAAAACCCAAGAACAAATAGAGGAGAATTTGAGAAATATGCCTTTTGTTTTGCTGTAGATTCACATATGGTTCACCGTGGAGAACAAATAATCTCACTGCCTAGACAAAATCCCAGAATAGTGACAGAGGTGTCTAGAAGGAATCTCAAGTGATCTTTCTAGTCCAATTTCCTCACTAGTCCAAAGCTGAACCATCTACATTCCCAGTCATTCCCTATTTATCTACTTACTCTTAAAGGTCCCCAGTGAGAGTGGCTAAAGTCCAGGTGTTCTTTTAAATGGCTATGGATGCCTGCACAGGTCTGGTCATAGGAGAACAAGGAAAGCGAGGAAGATGGAGTTAATATGCTAGTGCTTCTTCAGAGATGCTTTGTGTTGCGGCGTGAGGAACGCTCCTCCTCACTCCTCTTCACACCTCCAGATGACGCTTAAGGCAAGCAGATGCAAGGCCTCTTGTTCACCATGTACTTCAAAGGCAGAAGGTATTCTTGATGCTATCAGTCAGACAGAGCATCTTAACTGCACTCTTTCATGCTGCTTTGCCTTAGGACAGATACATGTTAGTCCTTAATCAGTTATTTCAATGGAGTACTTACTACATAAGGTCAAGAACAACAACCCTCTCCTCCCTAATCCTTGCTTGTCACCCTTGGCTGGCTTGGCTGGCACTCCTGGGACAGCAACCATTGACAAGATCTGCTTTGTTCTGCATTTCTGTTGGCTTTTCTTTTATTCATATTCCCTTTGGCCTCAAGTTATAGGCAGTTTCTTCCCTGCAAGTTCTCTTCACAATAACAGCAGCACCCAAATGTTTGATGCAAGCACTGGTTGAAGAGGCTTCAGGCAAACAGCTCTCACTCACCCAAAGCCAGCAGCATTAGTTCTTCAGCACGATTAAAACCAGGAACTTCAGGATATACTTCAACAATTTTGCATAAAGGCAGTTACTTCCCTATATCCTGTGATCGCTTCCCTTCATCTCCTCCTCTCTTCTCCCCAGGTGTGTGGCTCTCCATTCCTATATGGCTCATGGACCAGATGAACTGGAGCTGCAGAAAGGAGAAGGGGTCCGTGTCTTTGGGAAATACCACGATGGCTGGCTGCGGGGAATGTCACTCGTCACAGGAAGAGTGGGGATCTTCCCTAGCAATTACGTTGCTCCCCTTTTCAGGTCTGATTTTTCTTACATGAAACGAAAGCACTTGCAGAAGGGACTGGGTTACACATGGGATGCTGGGTCTTCTCATCCCTGTGGTGAGATCACCCACAAGGGGTTCTTGACTATTAATAATGGCTATTTATCCCTCATCTGGGTGGGATGACATCTTGCAGCTCTCACTCCTTTTTATTTCCTTATGTACTGACTTGACTACACGTACTACATGGGAATTGCCTCTCCTTCCAGAAAACCTGGTATGTCCCAAAGAGAAGTCAGGCAGCTGAAGGAAGTCAGCACTGCTCCTCTCAGAAGTGGCACATGGTCCAGGTTATACAAATAGATTAAAAGTGCAGCATCAATCTTCATCTGCTTATTTTAAGACTGGGATTTCAGAGACATCAGAAGCTTCTTCCCGGACTGCTTAATTCAGCCCAGGAGTTCAAGTAGAAACCTGTAGGTGACACAATGCAACACACTTTGTTTAGTTAGTCAGGGAGCCAGAACAAACAGTAGGGCTTGTGTGTGCTCAGATTCGCCTTTATTCATTTTGGATGACTCCAGTCTTTTTTTCTGCCAGAAGGGATCCTACAAGCTGCAGGCTCTTTTAGACTCAAAACACTATCTTTACAGCAGGCATTTAAACATTGGAAACTGTTGCTCTAACTAAATAAATATGCAATAGCAAGATAGAATGGTAACTGAAAATATACACTTTAGGAGAGTCAAAAAATGTTTTGGCCCTTAGTTCCCTTGAGAGATGCTCAGGATAGGCAGGAAAATTAAAAGAACAGATTAGAAATGTAGTGTTCTGTTTCTACAAATGGAAAGTAAGTACAAATCAAAAAGCCTCTTTCAGGATTATCATTTCATTATTTGAAGCAGAGTTTCCACTGCTGAAAACTCACTGTGATTGCTAGAGCTCCTCAGGCCTCATCCAGGGGAGGCAGTGGCGAGCACTGCAGTGGCAGGCAGCTGCGGTAAAGGCAGCCAGGGAGCTTGCTCAGAGGAACAGCTAAGACCCATGGGGATAATTTCCAAACACACCCACTTGTCTTTCAGAAGAGATCACATCAAAGCAACACAGCTCCCTCCTTGTACAGCTGGTAGGCTTGTCACTCAGCATGCTCAGGTTGCGAGCACCAAGGTGGGAGAGAAACTGTTTGGGCTGATTCAAGGAACAGAGGGATGAAATTACAGCTGTGAAAACGCAGCCTGCATATCAGTTTGCCTTTTGATGGTTCACTGACACAAGCGCTTCCCAAGGGGAATTACTGCCACCCCCATGCCATTTAACACTGGATTTGGAGGAGGATCAGTCTGTTGCACCATCCTGAGCTACAGATTGCCCTACCCTCAGCTAGCCCTACATCTAAGCATGGGACTAGTCTCGCACCAGCATTGGGAAAAGCTCCCAAGCTTAAAGCGCAGTTTACCCCCTTTCCCTCCTTGGGTTTAAAAACAGGTCAGTTTTGGTTCCC